AACCACCTATTGGTTTTCCCATGTGATCATGGGATTGTTTAATGCCAAGGAGAGGTGCTAGTCATCTTTTGAAGCAATGCGTGAATAATACAGTCAGGGAAGATGTGACATTGTCTTCCGCTCCTTTCCCCCCATTCCTCTCGTCCTCACGACCTTCCTCTTCCATGGTGAAGCGCAAATCTCCATTCGATGGGACTTTGGGGTGGTGTGTGGCATGAGGTGGTACGTCATCGTGCAGGAGGAAGATTAAGGCCTTCTTCGGACTGCTCCATTGTGCAGACCATTTATGGAGAAGACGATTGACTTAGGTAGACTGGAATTGTGATGTTTGAGTCGTGGCAACTTGCACGAAATAGATGGATGGATGGCCTCAGTAAGTGAGCACTCCATATTGAGCGTCCAGATCTTCAGCACAGCCCATTACAAATGCATGCACCACACCCACATCCTCACACATACACACACACACACACATGCATTCGAACATGCATGCACACACACACACACACACACACACACAGAAAGCAAGGGTGGTGCTGTGCAGATGAGATGGTGCGTGCCCTACAGGAGTGGGGTGAAAGTGTGATTCGTGAGTGTAGTGAATGTGGTGGAGAATTAGGGGTTGAACAATAATGCGTTCACTTGCTTGGCGGTGTAGCAGGAAACGCATGCCACTTTACAGGACAGGTGAGGCAGTGGATAAACCATTAGTGGACTGCATTCAACTCCCACTGTCTTCTGTCAAAGCACAGCAAGCAGTGCTCATTTGCTCAGCAGTTTGCATGATATCCTCGGCCATCGTCAGTGTCAACCATTCCATTTCTCGTGCTCTCCTCCTCCTCCTCCTCCTCCTCCTCCTCCTCTCCAACATGAGGTGTTATGCACACTCAAGTAACTCACCACCAACATTCTCACATCCATTTCTGAATGGTGGATTCGAAGTGGTGCCTCACCTTCTGCGAGTGCTTTGTCACGACTTCGTGGAGAGGCTTCGACACCCACGACCGCGACCTTAAATTTGTTTAGTAGAATTGACAACCTGGAGTCACATTCATCGGATTGTTTGAAATGACTTAATGCCTGACGTAGCATAAAATGATGTGAAATGAGGGTGGGTTGGAGTT